GCAGGAAAAAGTTCCAAGACTTTTAGCACATAGGCAAAGGACCCCTAAAGAGCAAAAAGAACCCCCAACTCCTTGGAACTGGGGGTCCCAAGGACCCTTAACTATCAAAACTAGTGGGAACTCTGCAACAGTAACCAAAGTTTCATGAGGAAAAATCAAATTCATTCCTGTGCATTGGAAAAGCAACTGGATAATTTGTACCAAAGGTACAAGTGCAGTAAGTAGGTAAATGTATGTTAAACACAAGCCTGAGCCCTGAGTAGAAGGGTAGCAACACCACATTGTATGCACGTAACTGCAAGTAACTGCAAGCATCTTGTAGTAGCCTAGCGGTTTAATTTCTTGTTAGACTCTGACTCAAGTCACTTAGGTTTACATGTACATGTATACTGCTGACAACTCAACATTAATAGTGTGTGTCTCTCTCTGCTCAGGAGTTTAAATGGGTACCCGCAAAACCTTATGAAAGATTGAGGGCTGATTTGCCACGGAGTAACATACCCCTTTAGGGCGTGGCAATTCTTCTAGTCACTATCATAATGGCAACAACCATACTAAGTGGCCAGAGTGTAACTTTATTTTGGTCTAGAGTGGTTTTCATTCGAGTGCTAAAAATTGTATTGGTTTTGAACTGCTATGCTACCCAATTGAATTATGTCAAATTTTAGCTTATATTTTGCTTTTTTCACTCTGAATTGCTAGAAAACTGCTCAAAACAAGTTTTGGTTCCACAAAAAAGCAAAGATGTTTGTCTCACTTCAAATTTTGAATGCAATAATTTCGTCTTCACTTCAAAGAATGACAAAAAGTCGACTTAATGTCAATGGGCAACCTTAAAGATGCTTTCTTCACATTAAAAAAACAAAAACAAAAAAAACAAAACAAAAACATGTTGATTTCATGAGAATGCGTGACCGCAGAGATGCTCATTTCACTTAGCAAGCTCAAAGACACTTTTTCCACTTGGGAAACGGTTAAATGTTGATTTCACAAGAAAATGTGACCACAGAGATGCTCATTTGACTTATGACACAACAAATTGTTGATTTCATGAGGCTCTCGTAATTAGCAGGGCTGTCATTAAGGGCCATAACCTGTCACCCCTGTTACAGCTGAGTGTGCTTGATAGGTCCTTGATGTTATCGGTGCAATTGCCTGTTGTTGATAGAATTCACCCATAAAGTAACAAGTTTGTTATGGGCTACATGTGAATCAAAACTTAATGACAGCCCTGGTTAGGTTTCTGTCCCCTGATTCCAGAAGTTCGAAACACTACAAATCATGCCAATCTGAAATAAAACTTCTGTTATGTAATTGATCACTACTTGTTAGTCATTGTCTAAGGGACTCGCTGTATCAATAACTTCATCTAAAATTAGTTCTCGCTTTCCAAACTTTGACACCAGCAACGCTTGGCAAATGGACCACAACTCGCGAAAGGATTGTTTTCTGGACAAGACCTGCTCTCGGAGTTTGCTGCCTGGATCGATCTGACTTCAAACAATGAAAACATGATTATATCTGTGTTGGACCCAGAGCACATTTAGGTTCTTCAAAACATGCTGGGTTTATCAAAGCTTAATGATACCTCTCAACCACCAGGCAGGCATGCAAAGTATTTTAAAAGAGCACTTTAGAGCATCATATATATCTCTTTTTTGTTTGATCACGATATTTCCTATGGCACTCAATCCAACTCACATGTGGTGTTTTATGTCACAATTAGCCTACAAGCAGGCTCACCTTTGAGTCAAGCACGCAAGCAGTGAAGAGCAAAGCAGTCTGGCAGGAAGGAGTCTGGTGAAGAGGTGCCAAGAAAGTGAGCCTGCCTTGATCTCTGGAATTTTTTCATTTCTGCTTTGCCTGAGCGAAGTGAAATACTATTGGTGGAAAAGCGGGAAAGGTGAGAAAACTGTCAATCTATTATGTTTGACAAGGAGCAATTTAATAGATCCCCATGGAGTCGGTAATTAACCGCACAATCTCATTTGAAGTCAGAGGAAGACTTTAGAGTTGAGTGTGCATATTACTGATGTTTTAACAAATTTCCAGTCTATATCTGGTTAAATTTCAAACTAAAGAGGGAGCAGGAAATAGCAGTTGAAAGTATGTTAATGAGTCAAGACTTACTTGTCGTGTTGCCGACTACACACGTGAAGAGTTAAATATTACAAACGTATGTGATTGCAAGCGGGCAAGGAAACAACACGAAGGCGTTTGCCCGTTTACCAGCAAAAAACCAGACTGCCAATGAAAGCAAGATCACTTGGAATCAAGTGTGTGTCCTTGCTGGACATAAACTTTGACAGTTTTTCTTTGGCAAAGCTTTATCAACAACTGATATCGTGCCTGCATGTTGTCATGAAAAAGATTTACAATTTTCTTGAGAAATCTGAGCTGCCAAGATTCATACTTGCGGTGAAAATTAATTGACTTGGTAGAAATAAAAAATTTACAGAGATCAGAGCAGGCTCACTTTTTCGTCTTGTGGCTTCGCCGCTTGATTTCACTCTCTCAGCTATGCCGCGCGCGCTTGCCCTCCAACGTGAGCCTGCTCGCAGGCTACATCACAATAGCCAATGTAAACAACCTGTTCCCCCATTAAGATTCTGAGGGATTTGATTTTGATTTTGAAAACTATAAACAGAAGCTACATCGATCTATGTATCATATTGGCATAAGACCTCACCATCTTTGCTTGACGGAAAGCTATCTTGACCCAGACAGAATTTTTTCCAAAAATGTGCAAACAAGTGCAAAAAGTCCAGGTTAGTGTTTGAAATATAATTATTTGTAGTTAATTAACTGAGACTGAGGTCAACCAGAGCCAGAAAAAAGAAAATAGGCCTAAAATTCAACATAAGGCAGTTCTGCACCCATGCCTTCAATTGGCTTAAAAAACTCACACCACTTTTTCTTCCAAAGGAAAAACCTAAACCAATTGCGTCTCGTTCGTTTTCCCATGCTTTGCATCAGCTACATGTATTTGCTTCAAGTTTTGATTGGTTCACCGGATCATCAGCAACCTTTATGATTGGCTAGAGTGATAACTTTGGGTTTAGTTTTTCGCTCTACTATCTCTTTGGTGCTTGTCTAACTTAGTTAACTATCACTCTAAGGTCTTCAATTTGAAGGAGCAGGAATGGCACAGAGTGGTGAGAGCACGTGCCTGCCACCTTTGTGGCCCGGGTCGATTCTGCCCAAGTCAATTCCAGCCTAGTGCCATATATGGGTCAAATTTGTTGTTGGTTCTCCCCTTGCTCGCCTGGGTTTTCTTTGGATAGTCGGGTTTTCCTCCCTGCAGGATAGAGGATAGAGGAACCATACAAAAACCAGCTAAGGTTCATGTGGCTGCCTCTCTAAATTTTGTAATCTATTATCTTTTATTTAAGGAAACCTAGCACAACGAAAAAAAAATACACTTTAGACATATCACAACACAGATCTTCATCATAACACTTCAACACCATCCATCAAAAGCTTCTTACTTTGTCTTATCAGGTGTTACAGTCTTCTTTTGTTTCACTCCCTCTTTACTTGGTTGTCGGTGAAGTTGCTGCTTCATAGGTCTCCTCCCCCTCCCCCTGTCGTTCCATGGGGGTGGCCCATCAAGCTCTCCTGGAGGGAATCTTGGTCTCATGGGTCCTGGCATCCCCATTGGCCCATGGGGGCCATGAGGACCATGAGGACCAGGCATGTGACCACGTATCATGGGCCCAAGAGGTCCACGGGGGTGTGGGCCTGGGGGACCCATCATCATAGGACCTGGTGGTCTTGGCATAGGACCTCCTGGGGGCATGCGAGGCCCATGTGGGCCACCGGGGCCAAAGGGAGGGAATGGTTGTGGTCCGTGATGTCTGAATGGTGGCCTGGGACCTCGTCTTCCGTGTTCTGAGTAAAAATAATTATTACATAAGTGTAAGCTCAAGGAATTCATTAAACTTCAAAATAAACTGTAAAACGATATGAAGGCTACTCAATGAAACACCTTATAAACATGCAATTTCGGAGGGCAATGCCTATAAGTAGCTACTGTATACAAAATACTATTGACTAATAACTTACCAAAGTCAACTCCGAGGCTTCCAAGTTCATCTGTCAAAAAAATAAATAAATAAATAAAATAAGCACATAGTGATTAGTATGATCATGCTCTACATAGTAAAATAACCCTTATATCATGTAGAATTTGATATTCTGTAAAGCTCTGTCCAGTGGGGCACTTGCACAGATAAACATGTTTATTTATTCAAAATTGGCCAAAACTTTTCAAAAAAGTACAAAGCTTGAGGGTTTTCCCTTAGCAGGGATGGACACTCCTGGATTTGATTAATTTGAGTGTTTTAAGTGAAGTAGCAATCTACATAGCAACTACGCAAAGGATGGCTGCTTTTGAAGGAGAATCCAATGCATCTTTTCGGCGATATGGCGGCCGTTTTGAATTCTATTGTTTGAAATAGCTATTATGGGATGCTCAGGAGGCAAATTAGTATGTATTTGCCCCTTGAGCATCCCATATGGCCATTTGAAACAATAGACTTCAAAATGGCTGCCGTATTGCCAAAAAGGCCCATTGATGGCTTGCTTGCTTGAAAAAAGTCCTGTCCAGTTGTCAGGGCAAAGTAGATTTTCCTTCTGGGCAAGTAACTTTGACTTCTCACTTGCCTGATGGGCAAGGGATCAGGCAAATCATTTGCCAATTAAATCATTAAGAGAGCAAAATAGGACTTGCCCAGGGCGAGCAAAATTTGATAGCTACTTGTCCCAAGGACAAGCTGGAATTCAAGTTTTTTTCAAACCCTGCTGGCAGTGGCATGGACATATAAAATAGGAAACAGATTATTATTATT